TGTAAGGGCTGGGTAAAAAATCAATTGAATCAATTTTGAAGCGATTCCTTTACATATTTGTAAAATCGATGTCTAAGGAATGAGATCAATTAGTTTTATAGTGACGTGCGTGACGTTCACAATTCAAATGAGCAGGAAACCAACACTAAAGATTACTTCAAGCCAGACAGCTGCAAATATAGCCAATAGGTTGATTGAAAACATTAACAAATGGGGGCTGACCAGCAAACACCCTTTATTTGATGCAGACAATGCTGCAAATATGGTTTGTGCAGGGAAGATAATGCAGCTCATGCATATCTGCTGTGTCCCCACTGTGTCATGTCTGCTTGCTCGAGTGAGGCTTCACTTTTTCACTTTTCACAAACAAGTTTGCCCTTTTGACAGTTTTGTTCACATCTCAAGTATAAACTTTGTGAATAATATGACAGGAAAAAATAAATGAGTAGTGTGCATGGAACCCTGACTGGAAGATTTAGAAGAGACTGGTCTTTTTTAGGAAAGTGTTGAACTGTAAAGCCGCTTTCCCACTGAAAACCCGGGTTTTTCAAAACCGGGCTAATCCTCTAACAATCGGCTTTTAGCTCGTCTATTCTTTGCGCTCAATGGTGTCACATAATTTAGCGGGTAAACCTGGGTCTGATGTTTACTTCATGCCGATCAGAGCAGAGGTGACTTTAACGCAGGTTGTTTGACGAGTTGTTTGATCTGGGTAGACATATGTCAGTTTTTCCCACTGCCACTAAAAGCAGATTGGTCCTGGGTTTAAACTGGTTTTTCAGACCAATGGGAAAGGAGCTATAAGAAGCAGCGTTTTCAAACCCTACTGTTGAAGAGGAAATCTGAGATAGGCCTGTAGTTCTTTGGTAGCAGCTTGTCCAATTAGCTCTTGAATCAGATGTTATGACAGACAGAAAAAAATAATACAGCAGCTAAGCCCTTCTTCCAGCTGTCTCAATGTTTTACCCAAAGCTTTTTTGAAGCAAGCTCTGTTTGTAGTTAATTTGGTGAAATCTGCAAATTGTGACAAAAATAGTTCTATTTGGTGACAACTTAAGTACAAGACTTGTTATTGGTGTCCAGATTGTCATCATTGTAATCATATATTTTGTAGATATCTTTTTTAATTCATTTATCCATGTATATTTCTTTCTCGTTTTGCTGATATAGTACATTTTGATGTTGTTTTTCATATCTCTCTCTGCTTTTAGCAAGCCTCAGTGGATGATCATTGAGGGCTGGGGCAATAAGAATGAAGAAACACCCCAGAGCCCGGCCACCCCTCCAGCATCAAGCACCCCAGCAGAAGGGACTCCCAAGCGCAGAGGCGAGTTTACTAGGCAGGAGTATGAGAGGCGACAGCAACTTAAGATTATGGAAGATCTGGACAAAGTGCTGAAGCAGAAACCTACCACTGTACGCGGCGTAAAGAAGCAAAGACCCAAGACCGTTTTCAGAGATGACTCAGTTTTGTCCAGCAGTCCTGTCAAAGGTACATACATCTTACATTCTCACCACAGCTTTTCAGATAAAGTAACATTATCTCTCCCTTTGCATGTTTTTATCATAACATGCTGCTGTTGTTCTCTCTGTAGGAAATAGGCTGAACAAAGTGTACTCCCACTCAACGATGAACCTGTCATCTATGGCTAATGACTCTGGAGGTCTGACTGTCAGGAAATCTCCAAGGTAACCTGAACAGAGATGATGGTTTAGAATTATTTATGTAGGGCTTTAAAAGTTGGAGCGTTGGATATTTGCCATTGACAGTTCAAAGAACATTGCATTAACTGTCAGTGAAAGAGGACCTGGATAATGGATTTTTACAACGCACAAATGGTTTCATTATTTGTTTGTGTTTATCCGTCTCTAGCTACAGTTGCTGTGGTAGTCGTTATCATTATCAGGTGCAAAGGTGATTGTGACAATTAATGTCTGTAACAAACTAAACCTTGTTTCCAGCCGATCACATTCTCCCTCCCGCTCACGGCTAATGTCACCAGGGCGAAGGAGTGCCCAGAATGGGGACTGGGAAAATGGTTCCACCATTTCCTCCCCAGCGTCCATCCCAGAATACACAGGTCAGTAATAAGTCAGAGTTGTAATATGAAAACACTGTTTTAGGCAGCTGACCATATGTGAAATTTGTCTTTCAGGACCAAAGCTTTACAAGGAACCTAGCTTTAAGTCAAACAAATTTATCATCCATAATGCTATCACGCGCTGCTGCCTGGCTGGAAAGGTCAATGAACCACAAAAAAACAAGATTGTAGAGGTAAACATCACTTTTATGAAGCAGTCCTATTAAGAGTGCCATACTAACAAGGCTCTTACTTAGATTTTTTTTTCTGTTTCTTTTCAGGAAATGGAAAAAAGCACAGCTAACCACTTCCTAATCCTCTTCCGAGATGCCAGTTGCCAGTTCAGAGCAGTATACACTATGAACCCTGAAACCGAGGAGATGGTACGGCTCACTGGGATTGGCCCTCGGATCATTACACCTGAGATGGTCGAGTCCATTTATAAGTACAGCTCTGACCGTAAACAGTTCACCGCCATCCCGTCCAAAACCATGTCCATGAGTGTGGACGCTTTCACCATCCCTAACCAGTTCTGGCAGAAGCGGCCGGGAACTCCTAAGAAGCTTAGCACCCCAAAATAGACATCTGCCTAAGGTTGGGAAGGATGTTGTAATTCAGGAAATAAATCCAAATTGCAATTGTGGAGTGTTGGATTGTTTTATTGTAGGGAGAAAAATGGCTTGAGCGCTCAGGTATTTGGCCTATATAAAGTTGGACCCAGAGATCTGTCCAGGCTGCAATATTTGCCTAGACAATATGTCCTCTCCTTGAATCAGCCAATCTAACAATAATGTTCAGTCAGATTGTAAAGTGTAATGGGACAAATTTTCAATTGGATAGGCAACTGTTTCCTATCTCCTCATCATGCCTTGCCTTACCCATCATGTCTGAGTCATGTTCTTTGTTATTTTTTTGTTGTTGTTTTTACTCATAAAGGGACAGGGAAAATGACACTGCCTTTGCCTACGCAACAGTATTTTGGGCACATGTGGCTCCCACCCTTCTAGGCTCTGCTTGATTTTTTTCCTTTTGCTGCCTTTTCTTCTTCCAGGGCTCACTTCGGGTTTACTGAGACAGGGTTTCACTTCGGTCTACTGAGACACATGGCTCACTTCTGAGTGGAAACCAGGGCTGAAGTGTGTAGGCAGTTAACGCTGCTCCCATATGAATGTAGGACACACATTAACCTTTCCTAGCCAGGACCAGAAAATGCCACAGATGTTCAAGGTTTACTGCAGCTTGCTTTTCACATTTGAAACTGCTTGTGCCCCATACTTTCTGCACTCCACTCCAGCTCTTTTCAGGTGTTGACATCTGGATGTTTTTTTTTTTTTTTTTATACTTTTTGACATGTTTTTGCTAGCGACAGATTGGGGCTTTGGGAGCTGAAAGAAGGAAAAAAAAATCTCCCAGGATTGTTTCCTCTTTTGTTGCTTTATCATGGAAATAGTACTTTGTTTTGGGGGGAGGGGAACATGAAGGAGGGCTTCATCTTGTTTATCAATAGCTGGATAAAGCTCTTTAAGAGAATGATAATCAATGTTGATTTAATATATGCTGAATAATTCCTTTTTTGATGCTGATGATTTGTAAAAAAAAAAAAAAAAATGTTGACCTTTGTAAGCTAAGAATAAGCTAGCCTGCTGCTTAAGCATTAGTGACATGGTATGTTTGAGATGACAGTGAGTGAATGAGAAGGACGTTTGCATTGTTCAACAGCTGAAATTGCAGATACTGTTTTAGGATGGTTAAATACTTCAGGTCACTGAGCTTGTTTCCTAATGCATTGTTCCCTGTTTGTATGTCCACACATATAAACAGTAGGTTTATTAATGAAGGATCATTCTGGACTGTAACAGCCCTCTTCTACCCCACAGTCTCTTGAGACTCCTTCACGTACAACTGGGGAATGTAAAATGCCAAGTTTTTTTCTCAATGTTAAGAAGAAAATGACACCAGAATTGTTTGATTAATTTATTGTTGACACCGAATCCTGAAAATTTGCTTTTTTTTTTTTGCAGTCTTGCAGCACTACTACAGTTGCCACAGTGCGGCTATATTCTTTTAAAATCACAGTTTGCCTCCATGTAATGTAGTGTTTGATTGGGATTCCTGTGGATGAACTGCTAAAACTATGAATGAGAAATAAACTGTTGATTGAATAAGTGTTTGTGGGGGGTTGCATGTAAATGAAATGGTTGACTGTGTTTATGTAATTGTAATGCTTCATATGTGGTAGTGAATACCATGTATTGATTCTGTGCAATTCCCCCTTAAACTCCCCACCTCACCTAGAGGTATATTTATTTCCATTTGATTTAGTTGACAAGTTTTATTTTTTAGTTTAAGGTTTGACTTTGTTCTTTTCTCTCCATTTCTTTTCTAATCTTTTCTTTCTTGAGTTAAGGTTATGTGTCAAATTGCCATTTCAGAGAAGACGTTATGTTTGTTTGGTTTCTCCTGTTTTCTTTTCTGTGCCCAGCACATTTTGTATGTTTATTTCATTAAGTGATTCCTTGGCAACTGGACCAGAAAAATAAAATCCTTTTTTAAATCACTCCCATTTTTTATATTTATATATATATATATATATATATATTTTCCCCACATTTTTTTTTATAATCTTCGTGTACATCTTTAACCTTTTGTGAGATTGAAATATTTTTATGCATTTAATAGAAAACAAACTTAAAAAGTATACACAAGATTATTTTTGCTTTATTAACGGTGTATTTTATTGCTTTTGTTAAACAATTTTGTTTTTCCATTTTACATCAAATAACAGCATTCTTGACTAATTTATAAAATTCTGCTAAAAAATTACAAGGTTTGGCTGTGGTAACACTGATAGAAACTTTTTCATAGCATGGTCCAACATGGTTGAAGGTGTTGGTAATGTACCAAAACTGCTGCACAGTCCTAGCTATGCTTCCCATGCAGCATCTCTGCAAGGAGAGAGTTGCAGGGTAAATCTCCAAGAAGGTGGCGCTGGTACAAATAGTCCTCAACTTGCAAGCTAATGCTGCGTACTTCAGGGAGCCGGAGAAGCAACTGCCCAAACTTGTCTGAGTGTCCCGGGTGACTTTGTTGGGTATGTTCCATGAGAGCCCTGTTCACCCTCTCCTGAGTCTGCTCTACTTGCCTGCGGTTTTGCACTGACTTCACATCTGATACATTAAAAACACAGAGAGTGGGTTGAATGCCAACAGCTGCTGCATTTATGATAGACATTTGAAAAAATTAACCGTAGTCACTGATGTTTGAATAAAACACAAACCTGGGTTGAATAGGACGAGGTATTTAAGACAGACAAACTCTTGTCTGTCAAACTGGAGTGCCTTAAGTTTGGACACGAGGTCTTGGGTCCTTGTTACTAAGCTACTTAATGTCATTCCGGCCTGAGAAATAATGGTTGACACTTCAATCTGCATGAGAATAAATTATAGTTAGTGGTGATAGTCTGGTTGAAGTTTGGGATGAAATTCTGCACCATTACTTCAAAATAGTTCATGGGAATTTCAGAATGTCTTTACCTGTTGACCTGTGACCAGATAAATACATCCTTCTTTGCCGTAGGTGACTTGTCTGCAGAGATGATCTAGGACCAGCAGCTCACTCCAACAGCTTTGCAGCAGCACCATCTGGTCGTCCACCTATCGGAGGCATCATTTAGTATTTTAAAATAAAGAGCCACATCCCCTAAATTCTGGTGCACAGGAAAAATTCTGAAACCAAAAAAACTGTCAGCTCTTAACCTGCTGCTTTGACTTTTCTGATATAGCAAAGTTTTCTCACCTTGAGCTCTTTGAATAGATTGCTGTTTCTGGCCCACTCCACAAGTCCAAACAGAGTCTGGTCAGCCATTTTGCACATGATACTGAACGTATTTAGACAGTCATGCTTCCCTCGATTGGCCTGTTCTTTCTGTAGACTTGTGAGGACCTTGGTCCGTAGCTGACCTTCATCTTGTTCACCTTCAAGAAGCTGGTGAAGGAAGTTAGGAGAAGGAATGGTCGACGGAGTTGTTCTTAAAGCCTGATTCCTATTCTGGGAAATGGTTGGGGCTGAGCTTGGTATTGAGCAGGGAGGCGATGTTGGTCCGAATGAATCCTCTGGGGATGAATGGACTGGATAGTGTGTAGGAACTGGGCTGTAGCTAAAGCTGGGCTCCCCTTTATCCTGCAAGTACTCAGGGAGTGTGCAATAGAGTCCATGAAAAGGCATGGATGGAGATGTTTGCGCTCCATGATTGTTCATTGTACAGTCCAGAGGCATGGGGTGACAACTTTGTTCCATTTCGGATGGATACATGAAGTGGGGGAGATGAAAAGCAGCAGAGGGCGAGTTGTTTATTGGGCCACTTATTTGGTGAATGTCACTCGGAGACTGGGGAACAGATGTTTGCCTAGTTTCCATCTTAATCCTGTAGGGATCAGTGTTTGCCTTTTGCTGTTTCATCTGCCTGTCTCGTCTGTACAGGGGTCCAAATTTATTCCTTCCACCTCTCATACGATCTGCTCTTACAGCTGGAGGCACACAAAAAAAGGTCATATTCAAACATGTTTGACCAAAAGACTTAAAGCATATTTGGCAAAAGACTGAAATGATTAGTTTTGCCTAAAAGTGGAAATGCAATTAAAGAAAAGGGTTCATAATAGACCCCAAAAATACATTTCCTGTATGTACATTTATCCATACCTAAAATGACTGATTGTTTTTAAGCAAAAGATGAACAACTACATTACCGTAGACCGTATAAAAAAAAAAATGTTTTTCCTTCTTTTTTAGACACAGCATGATTCAGATTATTAAAACTTTACATCAGATACAGCATTAGTTAAATGCAAAAAAACTGCTTTTGAGTCACAATCTGGTTTTAAGGTAACAAGAACAACCCGTTTCCATGTTAACGTTATTGTCCTCAAAATACAGTATTTGGACAACAATAATTGTTGTCAAACATTTGCTTGAGCTAAAGAGTTTAACATCACAGAGGAGATATTTTGGGTTTCTCTTGGTTCTTGACATTCTTTCTTTGTTGCTATTTGAATAACATTTATGTCCAGGCTTTGATTTAGCCTTTTCAAAACACGATTAACATCTTATTCTTATTTAGAGTTGGACAAGTTAGTGTTGGTAATTGTTTTTTTTTTTTTTTTCTAATTATCCTTTTAAGTCCACAATGAACACTAAAAGCTTGAAATCCACTTTCAGGATTTTTTGGGAGAAGAACTTGTGCTTCTACTACATTAGACCTTTAAACAACAACCATGTTTTTGTCAGAAGCAACATCTAATAATACTATTTTGAAATTAATATTAATAAAAGTACATATTTTGTTTAGTCAAATAAGAGAAGATGTGATCTTTCCAACATAAGTTCCATTTTGCTTCATCGGTTTCTGAAAAGTCATATTTTTCTTTCGGTTGTTTCTTTAGGTTAAATTTATATGCTTTTACATGGACTGATGTTCTGAAGCATTTGAATTTAACAAGAAACCCACAGCAGGTGACATCTGTAACCTTTTCACTGCACTGCATATCACAAAGAGGCAAAATTCACTTAAAAAGCGATGAAAGCTTAAATACCTTCTCTCCTCATGCCCACAGCCAAACACTTCTGGAAGCGGCAGAAAGGGCAGCGTTTCCTTTGAGAAAGGTTCATTGGGCAGCTTTGTTGCTCTGAACACGTATAATGTTTGTTATTCTGCACCGAGCGTTTAAAGAAGCCCTGTATGAGGAAGAAGCATTGCTAAAATGTAACTACTGTGCAAGTGAAAAAAAAAATATCCAGGTCCTCATCATCACAGCAGGACAACATATCAACAGTTTATGTCATACCTTGCAACTCTCACAGGTGAGCAGTCCGTAGTGGTATCCAGATACTTTGTCACCACAAACCGGACAGCTCTCCTCTGGCTCTGGCCTGCTGCCTGCCTCAGTCTTTTCTTCCTCAGCTGCCAAAATCCAACAGAAACAGTAAATGTTTGATCCATTTTTGACACACATTTACCAATTAAGAATTGTGGCAAGATCAATGTCGCCGACATGAAATAAGGTTTATTGCTCAGTTGCCGTGAGAACATGGAACAGTACAGGGCCATCCCTTCGCTGCAGAAAGTACCTTATCAGTCATCTAGATTTGCTTCCCTTTGATAACATACACGACCCTTACATAATTTCCAGACCCTGTTTGCTAAATGAAATGGACTGAACATGAATTTAAATCCCTAAAACAGAATATTTACAAGTTCTTATTTTCTTCTTTGCAACACCAAATAGGGTGTTCTAGAAGAACCAATTGATTTGTCAGCAACAGATGCAGATTTGATGAAAATATCTATATAAAACAAAATATGTTTTCATATTTCTAATAAAGAGCAGCTGGTGAAGTCCATCTTGTACTCACATGTTGCTGAGCCCTCCTGCATGACCAAATCCTCTGGATGGTTACCAGAGTAATGGGCAGGAGACTGAAGCTGTTGTATGAAATAACCAGGTATGTCCATCCTCTGGGGACATGAACTTCACAGTCAGCTCAGTTTAATCTTCATTTTTGCAAAGACCAGGAGACAAGAGAGTGACAGCAGGAGAGCCAGAGAAAAGCCAGGCGGTGGTCAGGCCCAACAGCTCTGATGGACTGACAAGTGTTGGAGGCCTACATTTGGACTTTGTTCCATAGTGAGTGTCATAAAACCTCCCCTGATTGGCACTCCTAACCAGTCAGTATGTCAGCAAGCAAGCTAACCGCCAGCCCCTGTAGGGAAGACAGATAGCCACCTGCTGGAATCTTACTGAAGTGAAATCACTTCTGGATCACCGAGCCATTCATAAACCCAGGAAATAAGATAAGAGTCCATTAAAAAGAACATGAGACCGATGCAAAGCTACAGAAATTGTGATTTTATGTCAGCTATCCTTATTATGGAAATGTGAAGAAGCTCTAAATTTACATTAAAGCACATTTAGGTTTACTGCTTGTGTTGATTTCTAAATGTAACCAACACTAATGATGAGTGTGTTTAAGTGTGAGAGGGAGTGTGATATTCTGCAAAAGAGACTCAAGTGAAAACATTTTGCACCATTATCAGTTATGTGTTATATAGCCTTTAATTTTATCTCATGCACAACAAATTATTCCTGTAGCAATATCTGGTATTAACTGTTTTATTACACTACCAGCTGTAAATGTTTTTTCTTTAATTAAATATTTATTTTCAAGGAGAAAGGCCTGTTAAAAGTGCATCGTGGCAGCTGTTGAAATCTGCTGTAATGTGTAATTTCCCTCTGGGATTATTAAAGTATTTCTGATTCTGATAATGTGTCTCTGGTTCTGACTGATTTCTGATTCTGATAATGTGTCTGAATAGTAAGCATTCACGTAACACTGTAGGATTGCAAGTATTTGCAGCTGTGAATGAAACAACAGGATATCCTTTACCTTAAGTGGTGAAATTGTGGCAATGAAGTTATGCTTCCTTCTAGTACTGAAGTAAATAAAAAAAATGTATGTTTCCTGATTTAAGCAAGAAATATTTTTTATTGGATGAGTTTTATTAAAGCTGCAAATTAAAAAAGGTTATGTAACAAAATTTGAATATGTTATCTTAACCTTCCAGACAGTGCTGGTGGTGATAAGATAGTGCTGAAGCAGGATTAACACAAACTGGTCCAGTGACGTCAAAGCTTAATGTGAATGGCTACCTGCCCAACTTTTTTTTTAAACTTATTTTTTTTTTTTTACTTTTCTCTGAACAGTAACAGTAGGGAGATTCCAGCATGTTTAAATCCATATACAATTGTCCATTATCCATATTATGGAAGTGGTGCATTTTTTCTTTCTGTATTCATTCAATTTTTCCCAATTTTCCACAAACTGCCTGGCTTCCCATCTCAAATTATATATGTGTTTATCCATCACAGATATCTCCTCCACAATGTTTAGCCACTGCTGCACAGTTGGTGGTTCCTTTTAACACCACAAATTTGTAATGGCTTTCTTTATTTGATGAAAGTAATACTTTTACTTGATAATCATCTTCCAGATAGAGTGTCTTACATGATCTAGGTATTCCACATCCTATATATTGTTTTCAAATTCCAACAGATATTATTTCCAATAACCATTTATCTGTTGACAGGATGAGAATTTGTGTATTACATATTCTAAACCACTCTTCCTCACTTATATGGTCCTTTAGTTCCTTTTCCCATTTATCTTTAATATGTTTTTTTTTTTTGCCTGCCATCAGTCCCTGGTACAACGCTAAAGTTATTATACTTTTTTTCCCCCCTCGTAGGATTTTTGAAAAATCTAATTTATTTTACCGGTGTTAATTTTTATCTCTTGTCATATTAATCTCTTATTTGTAGATACTGATACTGATCCTGATAATCTAATCCAAATAATCTAATCCAAATTTTCTTCCATTTTACACATTGCTGCAATACCTTTACCTGCCTACTGCTTGAACCCTTCATCATAAACACCTGGTCTGAACACCGAGTCCCAAGCAAACCAACTCAGGCTTCTTTGTCTAGTTTATCATTTTCAATTACTGTATTCCATATTTCAATTCTAGTTCTACTTATTTAATCTAACTGATTACTTATTTCTTTCAATGGTCGTATCAAATTTCTTATTCTTATATCTTTTCTGCTCATTTCCAGATGTTTCCATCATTTTGAAACATGTTCATCATTTCACCAGCAGATCAGAGGTCTTAACCGCGCAGCATAGAAATATTATTTCAGGCCTGCTAAACCCAAACCCCCTCTGTCCTTTGGGAGCTGAAGTGTTTAATATCTCACCTTAGTTTTCTTTCCTTTCCATATACCGTAAACCTTGATATGCCTCTATCCCATTCTATGAATTGTTTTTGTGACACCATCACTGGCCATGATTGGAACAAGTATAACAACTGTGGTAAAATATTTATTTTAATTGTCTCTACTCTTGTGTTAAGCTGCCGACCAATAGCCATTCATCTTGCCAAATCCTTCTTTTTGTATTTCTTAAACTAAATATTTAGCATGAAATAGCCTGCTTATATAAAAAAATCTGTCCATTTTTCATGGTATTCAGTTCACTAATTTAACCTAGTTAGTGCCATCTCCTGGTTTGAATGTGCAAAGCTCTAGTTTACTTTACCTTACCCGTTACTCGTAAACACATAAACAGAATAGCTGCTGCACAACACTACTTTATTTGCCAACCAAAATAAAGGCACACACAAAATCAAAAAACATGCATTTGTTGTCTTTTTTAACATTTGGGTTACATTAAACATTTGGCAAAGCTCAGCTATAACAGAGGCATTGTCTGCAGTAGCCTATGCAAAGGATGTCTCCTAGGGTTCAGGGTTTTGATCATCTGCCTCACTGTTGTTGCAGACCGGATCCCCCTCAACAACGTACCAGACTTCACTGTGGCACTTTTTATTCCAACTTGGTCTGCAAGAAAACAAGGAAACCCATACAGACATATTCGATTATGAGTTGTTATACACTAACATGGCTTCTATTGTTTTGTTATTTCATTACCTGTTATATCCAGCCCCGTAATGGAACCCCTTTTCATATTTTGCATTCACTGGGCGAAGAGCAGAGGAGAGTTCCTCACAGTGCTTTTTATCAGCAAAGGTATGCATCATGTCTCCATGGCTGCGCACATATACATTCATAGCCGGCATCTCTTGGATATAAACCTGCAAGTCAGAAGTTTTTTTTTTTTTTTTATAATTATTTATTAGTCCTAAAAGTAGATCTGAAATAAAATATTCAAATTTCATAACAAAGTTTACATCTTTGTTGGTAGGTTGTGGGGGGTTATTCTGATATTCGGCTGGCAGCAAGAAACTCATCGTGAAGACACCTTGCTGAAAAATTTTCTTTTCAGGGATTTTCATCAGAACAGGTGCAGTCATGTCAATTTTTTTACCTGCATAGATGACAAACAAACTCTTAAACAGAATTTATGTACTAAAAAAATTATGAAATCACTGATAGCTAAAAGACATTTGGGTTAACAAAAATCCAGATTTAGATTGAGCTATAATCATCCTTCAGTTTTAGAAAACAAACCTTTACCAAATAGTTTTTTTTAGATGGAAATCAACTTTTAAGAGAAAGACACTAAAAATCAAAGTGGGCACTTTACATTACATTTATCTTATCCCACTTATTGTTGTTTATGAGTCATGTGAGGACCTTTATTGTTAGAATGATTTTGTTTTGGTCTAAGTTTAATTTAAAAAAAGTGTCCATGTGAAATTAACAATGAGATTCATATATTCATACGAACCTTCCTCGTTTTCCCCCGTGATGTACCCATACAGTCGCCAGAAGGATTGAAACATCATGAGCTCCATAGACAAGGATTTGTAATCAGTTGAAACCCATTTCACGGATTCATAATGACGCACCTGAAAAATATAAACATTAAATACAATTATTTGGTGTCAAGTCCACAAACACTTCGTTCCCGTTCCAGTAACTAATGAAGGCAGTTACCAGTGTACCCCATGTGTACCAATGTACCAACAGCAATCATAAAAGATAAATTAAGCTTTATAATATGGAAAACAATGGTAAAAATTTTACATAAAAACTAGTTTAAGCAGCAACAAAAAAACAATACAACACAGTTAAATACATTTAACAATGTATTTGTGGTTAAAATCCAAGCAGAATGATAAACCTGCATAGGTATTGGATGGATAATTCTAAATTAATAATTAAAAAATATTATATATATGTATATATATATATATATATATATATATAAAACCTCTAACCTCATATGTGGTGGAGTTGCAAATCGAGTCAAAGAGCAGACACTGTTCTGTCTCACTGCAGAAGTTCAGCTGGGAAGAGTCTCTGTAAAGTCCAAAATTATATTTTTTTACTCCAATACACATATAAGGTAAGTTAAAGAAATAAATCTACTAGTTAGAATTTGGATGAAATATTCATACCCAACTCTAGCCTCAGCTGTGAAGATCAACAGTAGAGTAACAAAACCTGTAAGACAAATCCTGAGACACACAAGGGGAGTTGTTTCTTCACTAAATTCCACTTTTCTACATTTCAGTTCATCATGCACAAAGCTATGGTAAAAGTATACTTACATGACGGGTCAATGTTGAGTTATCACTGTCCCAAACAGGAATCTCCTCAAAGTAACCCAAAGGCAGTATTTATTCCTCTGGTTATGAAAAGAAAACAGGCCACTCCCTAAGCCCTTAGTTCAAACCAGACAACAGAGAGGCAAAACAAATGAGAAACCTCCCCAGAAACAGGAGAATGTTGGAATACTTGTTTTCTCATTAATATGTTAGATAACCTTGTTTTTTATGTTATATATTGATATAAAAAAGGTATAAAAACTTATTTATGTGAGTTAACTTTTAGAGTTAACTATTGTGAATTACAAAAGAACTCTTAATTTTGAAAAAAGTGTTTTGTTCACTTCAGGCAACATGACATAAAGGTCAACAGTAATTTTGAC